AAAAATAACTTTGCAGTTTACTTCAACACGTTTAAATGATTGTCCCTGGAATAAACTACATGTATAAGAATCACATTTTTTATTTATTGTAGAAGTCCTCGGCAACAGAGTTGGAAGAGAAAACATCTAGACTCTCATCTAATTCATTGTAAGTCCTTTGGAAGAGATCGCTGTTTGTTTTGTTTTTGAAGCGCAATCGTCTGGAGTATTTGTGAGCAGTCAGTATCTTACCTGCAGTGGGAAGCACACAGGAGCGTCTTCTGTAAACTAAACTCAAACCTTGCTGTTTGGACAAATGTCTTATTAAATCATTTTACACACCGTCATGTTCGCATTAAACGGTCATTAAAAAAGCGGCTCGTGCAGTTATTCTTTTGAGAAAAAGACGCTCTGGTTTCACTTTTTTAATCCCTCAGGTTTATAATCTGGTGCTTTTGGATTAGAGCTGCGAGTGTAGGAACTGAATAACAAGCAGCAACGCAAACGTGAGATTATCCACTGACGCAGGGACGCCACCAAAGAGGGACCATAGGGGGCAATGGCCCCCTCTATTGTCCACTGAGTCACAAGCTTTAGCTTGGTATGCTTTTATAACTATCCCCTACTTGTTTAGGATTAGTAGAACTTCATACTTGTATAAAAAAAAAAAAAAATTCTGAGTTATTAGAAGTAAAAAACAAGATTTTATTTAAAAGTAAAAATAAAACTTAAACTCTATTCTCCCTAAATAATAACAACCAGTCTACAACTAATGCGTATGCATGGTCTCTGGAGGGTACATGTATGTTTTTTAACAAATATAAATTTAGTAGGTAAAAAGCTTTAATAAGTGGAGCAGTTACCGTGCGTTTCTCAGTAAATATCAACTGTAAATAAAAATAACTAAAGTAGATCTGCAAATCACAAGGCGATTCCCTGACTCCAGTATTCCTGTTTTTGTCCAGTAATCTTTATGACGACGACAACAAAACAAATCTGCTGAGGTTCTGTTCTGGTTTTTGGTTTTGGTGCTTTATACTTCAGATTACGCCACTTTAAAACAGCTGAACTGTTCCTTTAATGTTACTGGTAATGAAGCAGCTCGTTAAACTCAGTTATTCAGAATAAAGATGGACACATATTTATTTGTTGTTGTTTTCTTTAAGGGAGTCCTCTGAGCCGCCTACGAGCCAAACAACTGATTCAGGGATGACCTCAGACCCACCTGAAGAATTTAAAGACCAGGTTTGTTCTTTGTCCTAAAAGCTGTCCAACTGTAGGC